CAATAACATACACACACGAAAAATAGAAGAAAACACCAACCCCCCAACGTTATTTGGTCCGTCTTCCTTTGTCCTTGTCCCCCCTTTACCCTAACCTTTTCTCAGTTGCCTATCTGTAGACTCTTCCTGGCTGTTCTCCTCTTTCTCCCATTCTTGCTCCCCATCTTTTCTTATTTTTCTCCACTCTTTCTCAGCTTTCTCTCTCTTCTTTTCCACTCCTTTTGGTCACATTTCAGGATCTCTACCTTCTAGCCTCTCAGTTTTATGGCCCATTTTTATTCTTCCTTTATCTTTTCAGTCTCCCGTCCCTTCACTACACCCTCTCTTTCTCGCTTACACTTTAACACATCTGTTTCTAATCCGAGTTGTTTGAGACGCCTGTTGGAAACAAAAAAAAGCCCCTTCCCCCACCTTAGGGACCTGGAATGAACATTCCTAGATCAAAGCCAAAGCTCATTTCCCTAGTTTTCCTCCCCGAACATTCCCCAAAACAAATGCCATCACAAAGTGGGTCCCAACTTTCAGATGGTTTATGGCCGAGAGGCCAACATTGCACCTTGAAAATGCTGCCACCAACAAGAACTAAAAAATGCTTTTATGTGACTCCCTTCAAGAGAACAGATGTTTCCAACACTCTACAATATAGAATTTACAATCCTCTCCTGCCCAGATGTGCTGCCCATTTGCCCTGAGGCAGAAAGAGATGGCCCTTCTTCAGCTAAGGGGTTGAGGGGAAATGGTTTAATTAGCAAGTTAGTATCCCCTCCTTCAACTGCTGCTGCTGCTGTCCCTGACAATACGTCTCTTTGGAGACATCAAAACTACCGATGTACCGTCCCCGAAACACTTACCGAGGAAGAGAATGAACAGGAAAGACATTCCGTTTCCAGGACTGGACACTTTTCCCCTCTGTTGCTCCCCTAGTCCCAGGCACGTCAGACAGTCAGAGAAGACCTGCATGGAATGGAAAGCAACGTCTCTGGCATGCGCTCCGTATAATTGCATCCATGTGCCAGCAAAGAAACCCAATTTCCCTCCCTCTTCCCCCTCGCCTACTTCTCTTCTGTCTTTGCCTTCTCTGACTCCACAGACCCCGGGGAGGGGCCTGGAGCGCACCCTGCTCCTTTCGAGTGGGAGTGGGAGGAGAGAGATCAGGGATTGTGCTCTTCCCCAGAGGAGAAATTGTGACAGAGAAGCTCTCCAGCAGCATGGAAACACTTTTCCCTGTTTGGAAAGAAAAAGGAATGAAGAAGGAGGAAAAAAAAAATCATACTGAGCAGTAACCACATGGCTGCCTCCTCCTGCCAGCCCCTCCCCACCATCATCTGGGATTAGCGGGGAACACCAATCGGTGGCCTGGCTGTGGAGCTGGCAGCCAGGAAGGGGCTTTTCTTTCCAAGGAGAAATGCATGTGGGTTTTCAGGGCAAAGCGGGGAAATCTAGCCGCAACTTAGTATACATAGGAGATTTGGAGGAGGGGAGCAGTTCATCTCTCTTCATTGCAGAGCCAGGGCCGGAGAAGAGCTCAGAGGAATGCTATAGACCTCTTTTACAGATGTGGAAACTGAGGCTTATTGTGGTGAAGAGGAGTGACCAAGGTCATTCAAAATAGTATAAGAAGCCAAATGATCCATGTCTAGTCTTTCCAAGTCACGCAGCCATGAGGCAGGCTCAGCACAAAATATTTTCTCCTTTCTCATTTTCTCTGGTTTAGTCAACGTTAGAGCTGGACCATTTGGAGTGAGAGACTAAACGATGTAGTGGATAGAATCCTAGGCTTTTGAGTCAGGAAAATGTGTTTTCAAATTATCCCTCAGATATTGGCTGTTTGGCCCTAGGTAAGTCATTTAGCATTTCTGTGCCTTACTTAGTCTCATTTGTAAGACTAAGAAGATGGACTTGTTGGCCTCTTAGGGTTCTTTCCAGACTCTAAATCTATGACCCTATTTGTGATTGAATAGGTCAGTTAATTCAGTCAAACAAGTGGTTTGATTTGTTTCCGTGGCATTGCGTTGATGGTCAATTCTCATATCCTACAGACACAAGCTCAGACTCTTTTCTTTTGGCCTCTACTTCTCTCTCATTTCCTGTCTCCCTCTTTTTGTCAAAGTATGTGGCAAAGTGTATTGAGTGAAGAACAAAAGAAAAAGAAAGGGAATTATGTTGAGTTTGTCTTGCTAGTGAGTGGTATGGACATCCAGATGCCAAATTATGTAGGGCTAAGGGGTATTTTAGCTAAAAACAGAGACAAACAAATGAAAAAACAAAACTTGCTACTTTGCTAAGAACAGAATGCTAGCCCTTTGCAGAAAGCAAAGGAGAAAAAGCAGATAAAACTCTCTCCTTACAATGGAGGGCCCCAAATGGACTGCAGGACCCCAGCCAAAGGAGGCCAGCAGAAGGATGAAGGGAGGGCCAGAGAGGCCAGCATGAAGGGAGAGCTGAGATCAGCCCTGCTGGCATTCATCTACTCTCCCCAGGCTGGGGAAGTAGAAGCCTGTCATTCGGGGGACTATAGCATGGAGGCAGCTGGAGGAGGCTGGACTTGCAGCTCTGGGAACAGAGCAAGAGAAATCTGCCTGAGTCAGGCTCTAGGCAGGGGGGTGCTAGGCGAGCCTGCTTATTCTACCCTCTGCCAATTTCTGGCACATGCTTCCTGTGACTCTGCTGGAACTCTGGACCTGTACTGTCCTCCCCTCTCCAACTTTGAGGGTGTCTCTGGAATAGGGGCAGCCCACTGAGGCACCTCGTGCTGTGATTATACAAAACTGACCAAAAGGCAAGGGGGTGAAAATGCCCCTACTCAATCTCTTTGCTGACCTTCATTGGGAGTGGGGTGGTCTGGTCTCCTGACCCATATAAATACAAAATTCTTTTTTCAGAGCCCTTCAAAAGAAAGCCAAGCTATTTCCCATCCATCTACCTTTCTGGTTTTCTTACTCTTTGTACCACTCCCACCCTCCCACATATTCTTGGATTCATTGACACTGGCCTCCTTTGATGTTCCTCAAACAAACCACTCCATCTCTGGACTCCAGGCATTTTTACTGGCTGTCCCCTGTGCCCGGAATTCTCTCTCTTCTCATCTCCACCTTCCAATTTCCCTGGCCTTTCCCAATCCCCCTTAATTCTAGTGGCTACCCTCTGCTGATTATTTCCTGTTTATCCTGTACATAGCTTGTTTGCATGTTGTCTCTCCCTTTAGATTGTGAGCTCCTCAAGGGCAGAGACAGTCTTTCGCCTTTCTTTGTGTCTTCAGTGCTTAGCATAGTGGCCGACACATAGTGGGCCCTTAATAAATGTTCATTGACTGACTGAGGAGTGGAGTTTCTGCTAAGGGAGTCATTTAACTCCCTCAGGGCAGAAGACCTAAGGTGGACAATCCCACTGCCATTCACACATTCGTTCATTGTATCTCAGATCAAGAGATGGTGGGGGGCCTTAGGTGCTATCTAGTCCAGAGCTCTCATATTATAGTTAAGGTCCACAGAAGTTAAATCACTTGTCCCCACTTACATAGCCTGTGATTTGAACCCAGATTCTCTGACTTCAGTTACTGCACACTTTCAGTTGTACCATGCTGCATCTAATTATCTCTGCTTGAATCATCTCTCCATTAGTCTTAGTACTCAGTGGTTTTAGACTCATTTATCAGTTGTCCTTCATAGTTGTAAAATGGAGCAGCCCCATTGTACAGAGGCAGTTAGGTGGTACAGTGGATAGAGTGTCAGGCCTGGAGTCAGGAAGATTCATCTTCCTGAGTTCAAATCTGTCCTCAGACACTTAACAAGCTGTGTGACCCTGGATGAGTCATTTAACCCTGTTTGCCTCAATATCTTCATCTGTAAAATGAGCCGGAGAAGGAAATGGCAAACTACTCTAGTATATTTGTCAAGAAATCCCCAAATGGGGTCATGAAGAGTCAGACGTGACTAAAAAATGACTGAACAATAAAAATGGTACAGAGGAGAAAAACAGAAGCCCAGGGAAGGAACAGGCTTCTGGACCACATAGAAAGTTTCTGGCAGAGGCAGGAGTTGTACTCAGATCACCCTGTGCAGATCATAAAAACCTACAATTTGGAATTGTAAGCCACTTCGGAGATTATTTAGGCCACCTCCATTTTATAGAAGAAGACTGTAAGGCCCAGAGAAGTGGTTTGCCCAAGATCCCACAGACAGCAAGTATCAGAGGTAGAATTTGAATTCAGTTTTTTTGGCTCCAAATCCAGTTCTGTTGCCCAAATTCCAATTTAGACTTTCTGTCTAAATTGGGAAGGATCCTGAAAGTCAGGCTAAGAGCTTTCCTTTCCTTGTACCCACCTAATATAGAGACATTTTTTTTCAGGCCAGTGGCTCTGGAGCTGCAGAGTAAACAGCACTTAATCTTCCTAAAACATCTCAAAGCCTCCTCCTCCACTGCCTCACTGCTGGTGGCCTTTCTCCCAGATCTGCCCATGGCAACACTGTTAACTCATGGGGAAGGCCTGTGTGTTGCTACAGACAGATGTGGGTAGGTGTGTAGGCAGATGGGTGTTTATAGCTGCATTTCTATAGAGGAAAGGAACAAAATGCCTTCAGCTCCAAGTCATCAGTCAGAAGTACAGGTGAATGTGAGGTGGGGGAGGACATGACAGTGGACCACTACATTTCATCCAACAGGGTTCTGCTCTGTAGTTAGTAGGCACTACTTAAGAAGAGCTGGACAGATTAGGTATACAGTGGAAGGACCCCCAAGATGGGCAGCACCACTAATTGTTCAAAATTTTGCTTCAGCTTTGGGTGCTATCATCTGCCCACAGCTAAAACAGAGAGTGAATGGGGCAGGTCACAAATGGAGGCTGTGCCAGGATAAAGTTCTCTCTCTAAGTAGTAACATTCTGCCTGATAGAAAAGATAAGCACAATGTACAGCAAACTGAGCCAGAGGTGTAACTAGGACAGGGCAATGGGGCTTTTCTCCAGGGCGCTGAAATCTAGAGAGTGGGTTTTCTTCCCATGGTGGGCCTCCAAACCACTGTTGCTTTGCCTTGGTGCCTCTGATCCTTTCCTTGGCCCTGGGCTACCATGTCTGGGTTCCTGTTTTTTAGCACCTTTCTCCCAAGGCCCTCTTTTTTGGTGCAGTTGATTTACTCCCACACACACCTGCTGTTTCCCCATTACTGCTTTCTCTGTCCCCCTAACGTTGACCATCTCCTTTGGAAGTAAGGAATCAGGGACCATGCCATAGGGGCAACTCTGGGACAGGATGCTCCCTTTCTTTCTCAGCACTCTTTGAACCACAGTTATTTCCCAATATAACTTCCTTATACACTGAACTATCTATTGTAACAAATGAAAACAGTTAAGCAAACTGACCAATGTAGTGATACAAGCATTGTGTTTTATGGAGTACTTGGTATTGTACACCCATAGTCCCTCACCTCTCAAATGAGAGGAATGAGGTGGGGTTCCATCATTTGTTCTCTGGGACTGAGACTGGTAATTCTTAGCAAAATTTACCTAAGCTTTTAAAAAAAATAATTAATTTATTTTTAGTTTTCAACATTCACTTTTATAAGATTTTGACTTCTAAAATTTTCCCCCTCCCTCCCCCCTAAGATGGCATGCAATCTGATATAGGCTATACATGTACAATCATATTAACACATATTTCTACATTAGTTATGTTGTAAAGAAGAATCAGAACGATGGGAAAAATCATGAGAAAGAAAAAACAAACAAAAAGAGAAAATAGCTTTTTTTTAAAAACTACTACACAAGAAAGAAAATTTCTCAAATCATATTTGAGTTTAATCTAGGACCATATCATCTCAATTATCTTTATATTTCTCTAGGTCTCTGCACCTCTGTGGATAGTCTGTGTGTTGGGGAAGATAAATGTGGGTGTGTGTGTAGACAAGATGTATGTTTGTAGCTATGGGTGCACTTAGTCATTCAGCTCAAACTTGACAGGTAGAGCACTAGGAGAGATACATTCTCTGCTCTCATGTAGCTCAGTATGTGTGTGCGTGTGTATTATATATATATATATACATATATATATATATAGTAGAGGAATAAGACACAAACACAAAACTATAATACAAATTTTGTTGCTGTTGTTTAGTTGTTTCACTAGTGTCTGACTCTCTGTGACCCCATTTGGGGTTTTCTTGGCAAAAATACTTGAGTGGTTTGCCATTTCCTTCTCCAATAATACAAAATATTACATGACTAAAAGTACTTTAGAGAGATACTCTG